AAGATTCAGTTTAGACAGGTTTCTGGATTACACATGGTTCAGTTTAGACAGGTTTCTGGATTATACAAGATTCAATTAAAGACAGATTTCTGGATTACACAAGATTCAGTTTAGACAGGTTTCTGGATTACACATGGTTCAGTTTAGACAGGTTTCTGGATTACACAAGATTCAGTTTAGACAGGTTTCTGGCTTACACAGGTTTCTGGATTACACATGGTTCAGTTTAGACAGGTTTCTGGATTACACATGGTTCAGTTTAGACAGGTTTCTGGATTACACATGGTTCAGTTTAGACAGGTTTCTGGCTTACACAGGTTTCTGGATTACACATGGTTCAGTTTAGACAGGGGTCTGGATTACACAAGATTCAGTTTAGACAGGTTTCTGGATTACACAAGATTCAGTTTAGACAGGTTTCTGGATTACACATGGTTCAGTTTAGACAGGTTTCTGGATTACACAGGTTTCTGGATTACACATGGTTCAGTTTAGACAGGTTTCTGGATTACACATGGTTCAGTTTAGACAGGTTTCTGGATTACACAAGATTCAGTTTAGACAGGTTTCTGGATTACACAAGATTCAGTTTAGACAGGTTTCTGGATTACACATGGTTCAGTTTAGACAGGTTTCTGGATTATACAAGATTCAATTAAAGACAGATTTCTGGATTACACAAGATTCAGTTTAGACAGGTTTCTGGATTACACAAGATTCAGTTTAGACAGGTTTCTGGCTTACACAGGTTTCTGGATTACACATGGTTCAGTTTAGACAGGTTTCTGGATTACACATGGTTCAGTTTAGACAGGTTTCTGGCTTACACAGGTTTCTGGATTACACATGGTTCAGTTTAGACAGGGGTCTGGATTACACAAGATTCAGTTTAGACAGGTTTCTGGATTACACAAGATTCAGTTTAGACAGGTTTCTGACTTACACAGGTTTCTGGATTACACATGGTTCAGTTTAGACAGGTTTCTGGATTACACATGGTTCAGTTTAGACAGGTTTCTGGCTTAC